GTGGCCCACTGCATTGGGAAAGCATGTTGATCCATTGAAATCTTATGTGGGTTAACGAAACAAGCCAATATCCACTAGGTCAAAATCTGTTGTCGTTTTCATCTCTTTCATGTATTTAAATAGGCAATAATATTTAAAGCAGGTTGTTGCTTCGCACAGTCAACGAGTACCATTTTTTAATTTGTGTTTGACGAAATCAAAGCAACCTCTACTGTCCATCAACATGTATAAGCAACAATAACCATAAATTATTATTCTTTTTCAAATTATCTTGCAGACAATATTCTCATGTTATCTTGACTGTGATACAGTTTATGAAATGTGTTGGTATGTTTGTGGCAGCTGGGCTCTATTGGATATTTGTAAACGACGAAAGTAGCTACTATGATTGGCGATATGCATATTGGCTGCAAGGGATATTCCTAATCGTTGTGCGTATCTCCTTTTTGCATGATCCTTCAAAATTCTGTTCAAATGTAATAGGCATTCATTCAGGCAAATTTTATGTTCTACATCATAGCAACTGATCAACCGGCTACTTTTACCCTCATAACAAGAGCGACGAGAGAAGCTGCCATAGAAACCAAGAAAAGAATCGATAATGGTAAGAAAGATACTGCAGGGTTTCTTGCTCATTTAATAATAATTAGTTCACATGATGCCTTCATGAAGGTATTCAGAATGAGCCGTGCAACACATCGCCTATTCTGTGGTGTTACAAATCTTCGGAATAAAGAAGACAAATTTCACTACTTGTTGATGAACAAATAGCATACTTTCGACAGTGATCATTATCTCATTCGGAATTTTGCAATGAAATTTTTTCACTATCTTGAGATGTTTTTTGCACAAATCATTCGGGATACAGCGAAATCCCTACTGATGGTGAGCGAATTCTATCGCAATCGCCTTGTCATGCAAAGATGCAGTATTAGGACAACGAACCCACGGCTGAACAAGTAAATATTCCGATGAACTCTTTCGTTACGAAGCGGCTACCAGATCCAAAACATTAGCAGGAAAGGATGCATGATGACTTTCTTCTTTTCCGGGTGCTGTATTTTACATTTTAATAGGTTGAGGGTGTTTCGCTTCCTTCTTGGATTTTGCTGTGATTTTGGATGCTGTTTTTTCATCGTCTGACTATTCATATCACTTTACAAATCTAAGCAAAAAAGCTTGAAAAGACAGCAGATGAGGTTTTCTAAAAGAGGACAAGCCCTTTTAGAGTATACACTTTTTTTCTCCGCATTTTTCCGCTTTCGCAGGGTCTGCTATGCGAGTATACTTTATTGGACGTTCTCATGTTGATGTGACGGAGTGTTTCTCAGCCGGCTTGTCGCGCGCCCTGAGGGTAAGCCTGACGCTGGAATCGCAAGCAAGAGTTATGTCCCAGTAGGGAATCGAACCCGAGACCTCACCGAAATGAGATCCTGCGAA